CTGATTCCATGGCTGGCAGGGCATGGGAGCGAGCACCTTCTGCATCAGCCCTATGACAGCCACAGCCTGATCCGGGCCCCATTCTTTCCGCAGGTGCGTTTCTCATACCGTATTTTATTTTCCTGTTTGGGAGTGGCTTGCCTGTGTTTTTCCTGGAGATAGTCATTGGCCAGTACACCTCTGAAGGGGGCATCACCTGCTGGGAAAAGATCTGCCCCTTGTTCTCTGGTGAGTATGGGACAGTGGCCACCCAGGGCCTGGTGTTCATCAGATCTGTAAATTTTTATTGAGCACCTGCCATTCGCCAGGTACATCGAACTCTCATGCATATCACTTAGCTCTGTGCCTAACACAGGCTGGCGCCCGCACAGGACAAATACACTGCCACTACTGCTGTGTAGGAGGAAGGGGAAGGAGATAAGGCAGGTGGCCCATGCACAGTAACTGCTTGGTGAGTGCCAGCGGCACCTACCTCTCTAGGTTGTCGATAGATAACCTATCAGCTGCCGAGCAGTGTAGTGCNTGCCACCATGAGCTTCCTACACAACCCCCACAGTGGGGCAGAATGCTCATGGTTTTCCTCAGAGTGAGGTGGTTAACCCTCCTCAGGCTCTGGGTTCAAATCCTGCACTCTACAGATGACTTGGGCAAGTCCTTGAGCCCCACTGAGCCCTGGTTCCTCCAGTGTAAACCATCATTTTGGGGGTTATGCTGAGGATGAAGGGGGATTGTGTCTGCGGAGTCCTGACTCAGCCAGTGCCCAGCTTTAAATAGAAGGATTTCACAGTCCATTCAGCCAGGCACCTTCAAGCTCCTCCCAGGCATAAACCCTGCCTGGAAACTTCTCATGTTGTATAAAAAGGTGGGAAAATCTATCCACGAGAACTGAGGCCACAGGATAGTTTGGCAGACCAACGCATGCAGGACAGGAGAGGGAGAGACAGTCGGGCAGGCCCATGGGACAAAAGCCCAGGCCCAGGCCATTTCTAGTCCCTGCCTCACTCCTGACCTTGGCCTGTCAGGGGTGCTGTGTGACCCCAGGGAGGCCATGGGTCTCTTGCAGGCCTGGTGAAGTGGAGGACCTTCCTTATCCTGGCGGAGGGGCTCTGAGAAGCCTCATTCCCTTCCCACAAGTTCCTGTGTGCTTCCCACAAAATCACAGTGTCAATTGCAGGCCCCATTTCTTGAGCACCTACTAAGTGCCAGGTGCAGTTTCCACAGCATTACAAGTATCATCCCAGTGAATCCTCACCCCACCCCTTCATGAGGGGCTTCTATTACTCTTAGCTGAATTTTACACATGAAGAAACTAAGGCCCAGAGAGGTTAAGCAGCACGCCCAAGGTCACACAGCAAATGAGGGGGCTGAGCTGGGGTTTGAACACACACTTCCTCTCATTTTCAGCCTTCGGAATCATACCAACAGTTGTAGCATTAGCTCCTATATACCAAGTGTGTGTGCCAACCACGGAGCTGAGCCTCTTAGGTGTGCATTTGGTAGTTTCTTCTCTTACTTTGTGTTTTCCATCTCTACCCGCTAGAATTTCAGTTCCAAAAGAGCAAGAATCTGTTTTGTCTTGTCCACCACTGTATTTTGGGTTTAGATGGTGCATGGGTCATGATAGACTTAAATATATATGGGATTTTTTTCATTTAGTCTCAGTCAATCTATGAGAGGTAGGCACTTGTGTCACACCCAAGTTACAGGTGAGGCACCTGAGGCCCAGAGAGGGTAAGCAACATGCTGAAGGCCACACAGCAAGTGAGATAGCAAATTTGGCTCCAGAACTCCTGCTCCTGACCAGTGCACTCTCTTGCCTCTCAGAGAGGATGCTTAAATTTAACAGCAGCAGATGGCCCACAGGCCCCCCTGAATCCCTCTCGCCCCTCGCAGGTTGTCTACTTCACCGCGACTTTCCCGTTCGCCATGCTCCTGGTGCTGCTGGTCCGTGGGCTGACACTGCCTGGCGCAGGCGCAGGCATCAAGTTCTACCTGTACCCTAACATCACGCGCCTCGAGGACCCACAGGTACTGCAGTACTGCAGCGCGGGGCCACGCTGTCCTCCCAGTGCAGGGCAGGGCAGCACATTCTCCACAGTTCTCTGATGCCCAAGTCTAGCTGGGCTGTCACCCTGGCACTTGTCCACGGCCTGTGGTGGCTATGCTAGTTTGCAGCGCTCTTGTACCTTTCCAGCTGTGGGTGTCTCTTTTCTTGTTGAGAACTCCTGAGGCTGGCCAGTTACAGAGTCTGCTTTAGGCACTGTGCCAGGTAAGGGGGAGATCTTTTTATGAGTTCATCTCCCCCTTGGGCCGGGCTTCTGCCCACAGCAGTTGAGAGTGCTGCATCCTGGGGGTGGGAGAGTCAGGGCCTGGAGAGCTGCTAGTTTCCTTGGCTGAGGATGGAATTCAGAGTAATGACCTCTTGGAAGGTCGAGGGGCAAATACTGGAGGTACTCAACCACGTGACCTCAGGAAGTTAGAGAAAACCCCAGGAGATTTTATAGG